GACTCTAGCTATCAAATTTATCACCTTATTCGCCCCGGTTACACAAACGCAAGGCTAATTTTTGTCATCTATATCTATATCATATATATATATATATATATATATATATATATTGAAAGGATTATAAAAAACAAGGTCTTATAAATAATTAATAAAGTCTAGACAAGAATTTTGTGAAGAGGGTGTTTTTTCCACAGTTGAACTGCCTTAAAAAACGTAGCGACATTGTGTTTCTGTTGTACATCGTGATCAGCTTTATTTATTAACTGAAAACCTTTGCATAATTATTCTATTTAGTATGGCTAGAGCTGTTTTTACCTGTTTTAATTTCGTTTGCATGTAATATTTTATTAAACGGGACAGACTAGGCAGATTACCGTGATGCAGTGCTGGCTCATATCTGTCTTCTTTTTTTTTTTTTTTCTCGCTTAGGAATGGTTAACGACAACGGCGGAAACGTTCTCAGGCAAATTTAGTAACGCGCTGTACGTGATATTAGAGACAGTCTTTTTATTATTAATGCACTTTTGTCGTAATTTGTAGTAAACCTGTCACAATTTGTAAGAAACATGTGCCGCAATTTAGACTAAAGTGAAGGTTCCTTTAATTATATCATTTTTCATCAGGTCTCGGTTAAAACCATTTGTTAGAACTGACAGACCAGACTGGTTTAGTTGTAAAGAGAATAATTAAGATCCAGTCAGATCAGAGCTATTTAGATTAAGATCGGCAATGTTGGAGTGTCCCTTTCCATTTGTAGGAACAGTAACCAAACGCGCAGAGGCTTTGCTCGGGTCGATGTAGTTCCATTGGGCAAGTGGAATTTCCAACATTTCAACCGGAATTTTTGTTGTATTGAAAGCGCCCATTGGCTTAGAATTACAGCGGTTATGACACGCAACTATCCTCATTTTCCTACCAACTGTGTTATTACAGCTCGGTCAGTTACCTACTGCGCATGCGAAACACATACTAGAAATTACCAAGTTTATGACAAAGTAGGACAATAAAAAGGACTTCAGTCTAGTAACATACATCTGACAGTGAATAACATACAACCTCCTGACATTTTTGCGAAGAGGATATTTTTGTTTTATTTGTGTAGTTAATAAGAACTTCTCTTACCTGTCGTTAGTACGGATGGAGACCTGGTTTTGGATTCTTGGATGGGTTCTTTCCTTTCTTGCCATCGCTGGAAATGGATTTACAATCTTCCTCGTCTGCAGCAGACGAAATCTCCGCACCAAAACCAACGCGTTTATTGTTTCACTTGCAGTGGCGGATTTTTGTGTTGGTTTGAGCGTTGTTCCTTCTTTGTTCGCATGCGACGTTACAAACACCTGCTACTGGCCTAAGGTTTTTCCTTCATGGAAAGATGTCGTAAGGTGGCTGTTTAGCTACTTGTCTGTTTTAAACTTGTGTTCTCTGGTGCTCGACCGTTATATCGCCATCGTAAAGCCTTTTAAATACATAACTTTTATGACTCGATCTCGTGTTATTCAAGTGATAACTTCTTGTTGGATAGCGTCATTTACGCTGGTTGCGTTCAAGACCGCACTTCGGCTTTGCTGCGAGACCCCTCTGACCAGTATCGTTGCAGTTGTGGTTTTAATGATTTTCATGGAAATCGTTCCATGCGTACTGCAAGTACTCTGTTTCGCGTCAATGTTACTTCATGTATGGAAACATGATCGGTCAACACGCACCCTAGCAAAACAGTTACGTTTTAACCATCGGGTATCTTATAAAACCCATCACGAGAAGTCTGCAGTAATAATGATGGGTATTGTGATAGGAGTGTTTGTTGTGTGCTACGGAATATATTTGCGTTGTAGTCTGTTAGTAGTATTCGACACAAATGCATCATGTAAAGATGAACAATACAAAATTCCTGTATTGGTTTTAAACTCGGCCATTAACCCACTGTCTTATGCTTTTTTCAAAAGAGACATAAAGAAAGAGTTTAAAAGGCGTATCAGTCAGGTGGTTTAATTTAGGCGGAAAAGTAACCAAGTAGAGCCTTCCACTTGATCATTTCTGAAGGACATAGATCTTAATATTAGTTGGCAGAACTGCCTTTGATAGCGGATTGTGTCAGGCATCGCGGGCGGCAGTTTTGGGGCCGGCAATTCCCTGGCGGTTTGTCTCAAATCATAGTTTGGAAGCACTGGTGTTTAAGGAGGGTACAAGAACCAATACAAAGGACGATAAGAATACAATCTAATAGGGACCTTACTATCCGAAAACAGAGACGCCAATGAAAACGTCGCTGAAAAATAGACTTCGCGTCCTTTTTCGCCCTCATACCAAGTCGCTCAGTGAATTGAAAGCACGGAACATGTGTTAAGCTGGAACTGAAGAGAGGACACCGCGCCCGAGTTCAGAGAGGGATAGTAAATAAATTTATCGCCTTGTCGTTCCAGTTCTTAAGCCCGTCAACTAAAAAAAAATTGAATATTCCACGTTGTAGTTGTGTACGGACAGCGGAGAAATGTACTAAAAAAAGTGATGCACGTGCAGCCGGAGCTGTTGTTTTGCTCACTGAAGCCTATTGTGTTGTATTTTCGTAAGGTTCCTAGCAGTATATGTCAGTTGCTCTTGAGACGGCGATTCTGAGGTATCAAGCCCACGTCAACAGTAGTGGTAGACGAAATTTCTAATTGAATTTTTTGTTTCAAACCAAGGGAAAGTATTTCTTTTTCCTGGCTTTCCTAGCCATTATAAAAACTAAGAGTGCAGCCATTGCTTTTTTCTCTTCTCTTCCATTCCTTCTCCTCGCCCTTTCTGCTTTTCTTTTCTTTCGTTACTATGATTTTGGAGCTTCTGACGGGCTTAAGAAACCTGCCTTTTGACACTTTTTCACTCAAATGACTGCAAATTTCGTTAGGTTGTTTTTCAAAAAATCGGCTAGGTATATATATTAAAAATCGTTTTGGAATTGTTGGTAATTCGATTACATATCATCGTCATTATTGTAAACCAGTCCCTTTTTTTATACGATTTGCTTGTGTTCTTATTTTTAAGAATGCTTGTAACAACGTTGTACTGATTCATTAATTTGCGATGATGTTGAGATTGAACCTTGCTTACTTACTTAATTGTTAAATAATGGTTACTTCTCGGCTTTCGAACGTCTGCCACGCAGGCTCCGTTTAGTCCACTGACTACCTTCTTTTTTCGTCCCTCCCATGTGCCGAGCTGAATATTTCTGGATTTAACTCAAACCACCACTTTTAGCCTCTTTATCTGTTATCTTTTCCTCAAATACTTCAAAGCAGGTTATTTGACTGTCGGTTGTATATTGTGAACAACAAGCTCCGACACTTGACTGTCGGGGGTAAGGTTTGGGGAATTGCATTTCACAATTGTACCTAATGGTCTATGATAACAGCAACCGTCTGTACATCCTGTCTTTCACATCAGCTACATGATCCGGATCTGTGTGTCGGTCAGTTTATTCTTTGTCCTTGCTAGGCCTGCTAGGCATGATGGGACCAACAACAACTTACAACAACTTTATTTCAAAATCCTTGTTACAAAATAGAATTAAAACACAACCCTCAAGAAGCAAAGGCTATTCGTGAAGCATGAAGCAAAATACAATACTAGGAGTAGCCGGCCAGTTGAAGTAACGGGTGGAGTGGCAGTCTCTATAAATTGGACTGAGTTATTTCGTCAGTGTTCTTTGTGAGGGTATAACAATATTTATGAAAATAAGAAAATGCCAAATAACCAGAGAGCTTTTTTAAAAAAGCTTTCTGAATGGAATGGCGTCGTAGCCAGGAGATAAATCTGTTCACTCTTTTCTTCTGCAAAGATAAAGTATATAACCAAAGAAGACTGTTTACGACGAAAATATGCAGTTAAATTGTTAAAACGCTATCTTCAAGAACGACGAAGAGTTCCCCACGCTGAATGGATACTTTTTAAGCCTCTTTGGCCCGAGAAAACAGCGTTTTCTTTAATTTCCAAAAGCCAGTCATTTTTATTCACGAAGTCTTTGCAAAGCGGCAGAAAGGCCATGACATAGAGCTACTTGGAGATATTAAGTAAGAGACACATAACTGAGAGCATGCGCACAATACGCGCCTAAATCGAAAACAAAACCCCATTTACACTAGCAAGTTACAATTTGTGAATAAAAACAGTCCCTTGTGTATCTGAATACGATTTAAAAGACCATATATAATTATGTTCTTTTGCGATACTCGCGGAAAGGTAAAAAATCCTAACCTAACCTAAATTTAAATAAAACCTAATCCTAACCTAAAATTCCTAACGCAGCGTCATCCACTCACTAATTAATTAGTGCACAAAGTTCTCGACAATTCCACGATTTTCATATAACTTGATCTACTGAAACCCTTTTAGGCCAATTAAATTTTGAGGAGTAACTGTAATTTTGTGCCAACTCACCAAAGTCTGTGTTTTTTTCCGTCGAGTTCGTTGACGGTTGTTCGCGAGGGAGAGCCGATGCTCGGAAAAAACAGTGGTCGACTGGTAATTTCCATCTTTTGGTTCGTCACTTCCTCTCTCGTGTTCCTCTTTACCTCTCTTTGGCGAAGATTCAAAAGGCTTGTCGCAAGAGGTGATGGTAACTCTCGCTGTTTTAGTGAACGTTGTAGCAATTGAACACTCAATCCTCGTTTTAACGAAGATTGAGTGTTCAGGAAGTGGCCGAGAACATTATTTTACGCATGTGTTTGGCCACTTCCTTTCACAGCTGCAGGTATTTTGCCCAATCTGGTGCACAAATGGCAAGCTGCTGCAGGTGGCTACCCGGTCTTGAGGGCACTTCAATGTGGACAGCTGATAATTGAGGAAAGCCAGGAACTTAAAGGATAGCCTGACCAACTGGTGGCGTTATTATCGAACAGCAGGAACATGATCGGGTTTTGGTCACGGAAGGAAGCTTGGCTCAGGATGTATAAGCTGTTTGAGGACAGATGATGTTCCCTCTGACAGACTGGATAACATTCTGCACTACCAGAGTTGTTCGGGAATCCATTTCCGTTTCATTCACCATGTTCACAGGTGCAAGAATTTTGTTGGCGTCTGATACAGGTACTATGACTGCTTCCGAAGATGGTTTTGATGACACGAGGACTCCCTGTCACGCTATAATAGGGAGCTTAAGCAACGACGACTGGAACAGGAACGGGAACGGGAACGGGAACGGGAACGGCTAAAAAGGCAATAGGTTAGATTAGCAAAACAACAACTTTGCGTCACGTGCATCACGCTTTTTTTTCTTACATTTCTTTGCCGTCAACACGACTACAACGTAACAGTACCTAATTTCACTTTTTTTCTTTTACGGGGACACAAGACAACAACTTTCTTTTTCTTTTCGTGAACTTTGCTACAGTCCTTCAGAATTCAACTCCAAAAACTTTGCCCACATATGACAAATTAAAAGAGATGCAATAAACGCGATAAAGTTTGAGGCAGCGCGAATTCACTTCTTAAATGACCCCGTAGCAATCGCCGTCGTTGTTGCTAAGCTTCCTAATGGTGAGACAGCAGTACAATCGTGTTTCCCTCCGCTGTTGTTACTTCATTAGTGTCGAGCTCTGTGATGGTCGCTCCTCCAGACGATGGCCCGGGCCACTGGAAGTACTTTATACAGCAGTTCATCAGTAATAATATACACTAGGGAGCTATAGACCTAATCGAGTTACTGTTCTACCCGATCAAGTTTTTGTTGTTTCTGCCGAAGTTCCTGGGCTCTCTGATCAAGCCCCTTTAACAGGGAAGTGCACGAAGTGCACTTAGCCTTCAGCTTGAGGTTTTTTCCTTTCAAATCGTTTAAAAAAGGCTCAAGCCAAAAGCTCACTGCACTTCACTGTTTACTGAATAAACAGAGCAGTACAGTGAGCCTTCAGCTTGAGGTTTTTTCCTTTCAAAACGTTTTAAAAAAACTCAAGCTGAAAGCTCATTGCACTTCACTGTTTATTGAATAAACAGAGCAGTACAGTGAGCTTTCAGCTTGAGTTTTTTTTCCTTCACACCGTTTAAAAAAGGCTCAAGCTGAAAGCCCATTGCACTTCATTGTTTATTGAATAAACAGAGCAGTACAGTGAGCCTTCAGCTTGAGTTTTTTTTCTTTCACACCGTTTAAAAAGCTCAAGCTGAAAGCCCATTGCACTTCATTGTTTATTGAATAAACAGTGAAGTGCAATGAGCTTTCAGCTTGAGGTTTTTTTCCTTTCACATCGCTTAATTCCCTAACAGCGTTCTTATGCCTCCGTTTGATGTCTTCTTGCGATTCTTTTAGCCGCTGTAACTCTTTTCTCAAATTATTTTCTTTTAATTTTCCCGATCTTTCCAGATCGGTGAGGTTCTTTTGAGTTTTTAACAAATCTTTTCACGGAAGTGATTATCTTCTTTCAACTACTGTCGATCTGATCGCAGGTTATTAATCACTACACCTTTTGCTATGCTCGCAGCTGTATACATACATCTCTACCATCCTTAGTCGACGGAGAATCTTTCCTGAAATGCACAAAAACAATCATTTTTAGATAAAAATCACTGATTCTGTAAAATCTCTCCGTAAGTTTCAGTTTCGTTTTTCTTTTTCCAAAAGTGAAGTTTTTAGCTAAAGAGTGATGTCATAGAGAATTGACCATAAGTTATTTGCGCGCGCAAAGGCTTGTCTAGAGCTGCAATACTAATGGTCAGCAATAGAGCATCCGTGGGTTTGTTAAGCTATTGTGATGTAGGATCTAGGTGTTAGGTCAGTATATCGTTCAGTCACTTTTAAAATGTTTTGTATACAATGATTGTTAATCGCAGAAGCCTGCGAGCAAGCTTTTCACAGCGAACGAGTCCGTGATACACGCGAGAGAACTTGCGAGTGAGTCAACAATTCTTTGCGCGCTAGCGCGTTGCTTCTTTCAATATTCTCCCCAGTCTACACCAGTAGGAGCAAATTACTATCGCCTCCTGACACCAAAAAATTTCCAGCATTTTACCAGAACGGTAAAAAAGGCCAAAATTTTGTTCGTCAGAAGTTATGGCTTAAAAAACGATGCGTCAAAAAAAAAAAAACAGTAATTAACAATGTATTTCTCATTATTGCTTATTTCTTTACACAGTTTTTGTGTTATGTAAACTAGGGCTTCAAAGACCACTGCAAAAACCGTGAATGATCAATGTAACGTTGGATCAAACAAGAACGTGATCAGTCGAAAAAGATAAAAATAGACTTAAAGTCAAAAAGACTACTGCAGGCAAAGACTGATCAAAAAACGTGAAAAAGGCTGAGGTATATAAACCACGAATATACAGAATAAATACTACTGTAAAGTAATAAACAGAAGTTACATGATATGACTTGGTAAGGTGTGGCTGCTAAGAAAAATAGATAAAGAATGATTATAATTCGTCACGTTTATTCACTCCTAGAGGCTCGATGGTTTTGGCTTTATGAGTGAGGTGCGCCTCACTTGTTTCCTAAGACAATCGCGTTCATATCTAAGTGTTTCAATGCTAGGGATAAGTAACATATGGGAAACAGAGTGGCTATTGCTGAGAAAGTGTTCTGAAACTGTGGTTTGGATGTAACTACCTGAGGAGTAAAGTATAGGGCATCTATATCTAAAAACGGTCCTTGGGGCGGCGTTTGGTTTCCCCAAAACATTCAAAATTTTATACAAAGGTGGCATTGAATCATGTAGATAACATTGAAAATATTGCAAGTATTGTGAGATTTGATTAGGTAGGTTTTACCTGCAGAGTAGAAAGTATAATTGTCACGGCCGTGCATGGTCAATATAGGCGCATGTGGTGCAGTTCCTGCTGTTGCACCGAAAAGAACCGGGAGTGGCCCGGGCATTTTTACAATTATCAGTCTCTAGCAATTGGACTCTAACAAGAATATCGCTTAAATTTTTAGAATGGCAGTAAGATACTATTAGAAGGTTTTTAAAAACATTTCTACAACGTTCTGAGGAATAGAGGACGTGGGAATGTTTGTGAATAATGTGCGCGACATTCAGGTGGCAATGTAGGGTTATATGTAATAACAAAACGGAGTGGTTTCGGTCTGCGTAAGAGGTTTGTGTTTAAGTGCGTCAGCACGAGGAACGTCTGAGGCACGCTGTATTTGTGTCGTGAGAAAGGCTTTGTCGTAACCACGATTGGTAAGGTAGTTAGTACGCTGTTTGTAAAAACCAGAAGTGCAAGGCTGTAATGAATAGAGCATTTAGTGTGATGAGGATGACAAGATTAAATGACAAGATACTGGTGTTTGTCAGTAGGTTTAGAATTCATTGGTCAGTTTCCATGAAGCCATCCTTGACTGAAACCATGACATCAAGGAAAGGGATATTGTTAAACTAGCGTGAGCATGTAAACTTTATGGTGGAGTTTAAGTTGTTAAGATAATCGACAAATAGCTAGGGTTTCTCTAGACCTTCAGTCCAGATCATGAAGATATCGACGATGAATCAGAGCCATAATAATAGTTGATAGGGAGCGCGAAGAAGAGCGTCGTGTTCGAATTTTCCAAGAAATAAGTTGGCGTACGACCGAGCGATTCTAGTGCCCATAGCTGTGCCGAGTTTATGAAGATAATGCATGCTGAGAATTAAAAGTAAATTTGATCATGGTGAGGATAACACAAATGAGGTCGCAAATGGCTTCTGTAGAAAAAGGTTTTTATTAGCTCTAACAATTTAAGCGATATATTTTTGTTAGAGCTCAATTGCCAGAGACTGATGATATCAACAATGCCCGGACCACTCTCCCGGTTCTTTTCGGTGCAACAACAGGAACTGCAACACATGGCCCTATATTGACCACCGCCGTGACAATTATACTTTTGCTACTCTACGGGTGAAACCTACGAAATCAAATCTCACATTCCTTGTAATCTTTTCAGCATGTTCAATGTTATCTGCATGATTTAATGCCGCCTTTGTAACTTGCAATATATTGGAGAAACTAAACGCCGCCTCCAGGACCGTTTTAATGAACATAGACTTCCTATACTTAACCGGCCTTCGGTAGTCGCATCCAAACCGCAGTTTCAGAACACTCTCTCAGCAATAGCCATTTAGATATGAACACGATTGTCTTAGGAAAGCAAGTGAGGCGCACCCCATTCATAAAGCCAAAACCATCGAGCCTCTGGGAATGAAAAAACGTGACGAATTATAATCATTCTTTATCTATTTTTCTCAGCAGCCACACCTTACCACGTCATACCATGTAATTTCCGTTTATTATTTTACAGTAGCATATATTCTGTATATTCGTGGTTTTCCGTAATAAAACGGATCAAGCCTGGTAGTGGCCAGTCGAAATGTTGTATACCTTAGCCTTTTTCACGTTGTTTGATCAGTCTTTTCAGTAGTCTTTTTGACTTTAATTCTACTTTTTTTGTCTTGCTTCGAGACCACTGGATCCTATTATAAGGTGTTCCGAGGACACAAGCAATTTCGTTTTCTTATAAACGCGCTAGAGACCTAACAGCAGAGCCCCATAGCTGAGAAAATTCAGTTTATCTATTCGGTAGTCACGTGACCGTCCGTCCGTCCGTCCGTCCGTCCGTCCGCACAACAGGGCAACTATTGTGAAATCTCACACTTTCTAGCTAGCGGTGGAAGCCTGCAACCTGCTATTGCACACCCGTCATGATCACTATTAACAGCTATTGAGAGGAGAAGTGTGACGCCATGGTAGCAATCAGTATTTCTGGATCACAACAATGGGGCGCTTAACGGCAACAACGTTGGCGACGGCAACGAGAACGGCAAAAAAGCAATCGATTTACATTAGCAAAGCAACAACTTTGCACGTGCATCACGCTTTTTGTACATTTCTTAGCCGTCGTTGCAAGTCTGCGACTTGAAACTTCCTAATTTCACGCGCCCGCCTTATGGAGTTGGTGAACCCAACACAAGAATTTTCTTTTCTTTTTACCAAACTGAGATAGGGTCCTTTCGGATTCAACCCCGTGCAATTTTGCCAAGATTTTACAAATTCAAATGAAATGGAATAAGATCGACGAAGCTTGAATCAGTGCGAATTTACTTTTTAAGTGACGTTTTCGCGTTGTTGTCATCCAGAAATTTTGCTGCCATGACAACGTGACGTAACACTTCTCCTCTCTATTCCAGGGTAAGTTTATGTTTGTGTAACGGATGTAATTTTATGCTAAATGTACTATATTTACCGTTTGCTTCATCTGTAGCAGTATATCGCTAAATATGTAAGAGGAACACTATAGACAATAAACAATGAACTAAAAAACCTTCAAAATTGTCCAAAATACCACTTCTCTGGCAAAAGCACGACAGTTTATCGTAGCTAAGGTAATACAACGTTTATTTAGCCCTGATCGCCTTACATTTTCACTACACATCACCTACTGCGCATGGCATGACGACGTCAAAGGTAGCGGGGATTTTATTACGGGTCGCCTAATTAAAGAAAAGTAACAAAGGCCCCCTTTTGTAATCCTTCCCGGCTAGAAAAGATGTTGGTCTTAAAACTTGTCCCAGTCCCTTCGCTAAAAATGATCTTTTAAACCCCAAATGTATTTGTCTCTTTGTTGTCTTTTCAGCGGGGCTCATAGGAAACAAAAAGCTGTAACATGGGAACTACTTTTGCATTTTTTATTCGTTACTTTAAGCTCAAACTTTGCAGGAAAGTAGAACTCTGTATTTCAAAAATACTATGTTTTTTGTTTTTCAATTTTAACGCTTTTTGGCGGGAAAATGACATGTAATTTCCGCAAAACAGCAAAATTTAAAGTTCAAGTTTTGGGAAAACAAATAAATAATTTTGAAAGAGCTTGACGTGTCGTGGGCCCACTGTTTTTTGCAATGACGCCAGACAGGAGCCCATCAGGGCGGTTGCGCGAGAACGGTTACCTCTAATTTTATTGGTGTCTTTCATACGTTATGGCTATCTCAGCGTCTGGAGTTACAGAGGTTTATAAGATAATGTTAAAACTGTCCAATTTTCTTACATTTCTCTAAGATCAGGCACTGACTTAAAGTCACTTAACCGAAAAATTATTGCCCAGACAATATTAATGCAATTAATTAAATGGGCCCTAAGTTTTAGTACAATTCATAGTTTTACTATATGAGAATTTTTGACGGTTGTTCAAATTTATTTAGTCTGGTGAAGAAGTATCCATATTTGAAGGGAACAAGGGGAGTGGTAGGGAGGAAGTATAAAATCTCCTGCGCAGCTCTTTTTTTGTCTTCGAGTTGCGTCAAAATAGGCACAAAAACGGCTACGTATGAGGTTACGGAGGAAGCTTAAGGTGGCTCCCTAGAGTATTTACTAATAACCCCAGCTATCTAGCATACGATACGGAAGGAAACCCAGTTACTTTGTCTTTGCGATTTGGTTCACGAAATTTCCCTCTAACTTTACCCTTGTAAAAAGGCTCCTTTATCAAGTTTTATTTTCTGGATTAAGGCCGTTGCCATGGCAACATCGCATCCCTAAACAGGCAGTTATTTTGTCATTTTTGATCATTTTTTCTTAATATTTCCTATTTCCCTCAGTGAAATGTCTTTAAACTTTGCCACTTTATGTTAACGATATTGCTTAATTAAAGTGGAAAAAACAAGAGGTCGTTAGGACGGTTTCGCCAATATTTTGAAATTTGTAACTTTTCTTAATAGAGGAGTTTAGCTCTTACAGATTTTAACAAGAAAAGGACAGTACAAAGGAACTGCAACTGTCAGGAAATGAGGCGATTTTTAATCTTGGGTGGGTACTCAAACATCCACAGAGGTGGTCCTTGCATGCTTTGTACACCTTATTACATGAAATGTTCGCCACACGCTACTTTCTAGAAGTTCGCGATACAAAAACAATCGCGAAATAAAGTGACGCGAGCAATGAGTGTCGCGAACATAACATGACGCGAAAATTAAGTGACTGTAAGTGCTGTAAACTTATGCGGCTTAGTAGTGGATCGTTTTACTGCCATCATCCATCCTCTAAGATACATTACTTTAATGACTCGCCCTCGAATTATTCAAGTTATTTTCTTCTCTTGGGTTCTACCAGTTAGTTTTAATGTGCTAAAAGTTATCCTTTATACGTTTTATTTCAAAACAATTCCTGCCCCCGTTTTTATTTGGCTGAGTATTATTTTCTTCGAGTTCCTACCAAGTGTTGTCTTAATGCTCTTCTTTGTATCAATGATATTTCACTTACGCAGGCATGGTCGGTTAGCACGCATCGTAGCAGAGCAGTTACGTTTTAACCATCAGATGTCGTTTAAAATCCATCACGAGAGGTCTGCAGTAATAATGATGGGTCTTGTGATAGGAATGTTTCTTGTTTGCTATGGGATGTATCTGCGTTGCAGTTTTACAATACTATTCCACACCACCTCATGTAAAAATGAAAACTACAAAATTCCTTTCTTGGTTTTAAACTCAGCCATTAACCCTCTGGTTTATGCCTTTTTCAAAAGAGACATAAAGAAAGCGTTTAAAAGACTTCTTGGACCTGTGTTTTAATTTAAAGAAAATATTAGTAATGTTAACGAAAGCCTACCACTTTACGAGCGTACGCGTAACTCGTTGATGTAGAATGTAGGTCTTTTAAGACGGTGAAAGGCTTGAGAAGAGACTGATAAATCTGTGAATCTTGGACTGAAAGCGAATTGAAATTTGGAAAAATGGCGTATGAGGAGAGAAAACAAGAACATTTGTACGCCAAGAGTATTTAAAATACTAGGGAAAGGACTTAGGATCAAGATTCACACAGTAGTGGGAGGCGAAAGTCACATCACATGGAACTTTTTAGTATCACATTGTAAGAGTATAATTCAATTTATGTCCACATCCTGCTAGCAGAGCCTTTGTTTTGGCGCACTGTTAAGAAAGAAATACTCTGCATGAATCGAGTAAGATCATTCTTGAGGGTCTCTGATAGGTTTTTAGGGATCCGGGATTTCCCTTATTTGCTCGGGATTGGGGATTTTAAAGCAAAATCGGACAAGATTCGGGATGGAAAGTATGCGTGAGCGTTAAAATGTCGAAAATAACCCTCGGCTACGGGATTACACGAAATTTTGGGTCGGGATGACAGGATTGAAGAACCTTGCAGTGGGGACCCTCATGGTTGAGGGTCCCCACACATGTTTAATACTCTCGATTAGATTCCAGTGGGCAAAGCCTGGAGTCCAATGGAGTCTATTCGAAAAATGAAACTGGAAGTACAGTCGAGTCCACTTGAATTACCGGAAGTCTAGCCATAAGATGAAACTGGGAGTGTAAACAATACTTTGAGGAGGGTTGGAAAGTCGTCCGATGGAGTCCATCGTCTGCACATGTAACACATCGCGTTCGGTAAGTCCTAAGTCGAGACTGCCACGCTATAACATGCAACATATGAGTCGGAAAGTCGAAACAAACACGCTATACATGTGAGATTACTGCTCGTTCTTAAAGCGATGAGCCGAAACAAGCACGCTACAAGTCGTTTATTAAGAGGCAATTTTACCTTCTCGCCTTTTTTTGCATAACAGAAACGAAAAAAGCTTCTTCTAATAAAAGCTGCCTTAACTCTTCTTGTAATTTGTAACACCCGTCTCTCTTTCTAATAAAGAACGGTCCAATTAAGAATATGACAGCGCAATTATTTAGTGAACCAAGTTAACAATAAATTGCAGTAAAACAAGATTGACTTTGTCCCGTTTGATTGACTGATATTTTTGCGCTATTGCCACATGACGTTCCCCAATTTCTCTACCTCTTGCTAGCGTAGGAATTCGTCAAGTTAATAATTGGAACCCTGACATTTATGCAAAATGTTAAGTTTTCAAGTATATAATCTCGTCGTGCGCGTCTAGCGTATACGTACGCAGCGCGAAAACTGCGCGTGGTCTCAGTCAAGTCAAGTCAAGTCAATCTTTATTTAAACACGGTAAAATCCATCAGGAATTTAAAAAAAAAAATTAAAAATAACCTAACTATCCTAAACAAAATTCAAAACTTGACTACAACTAATCTAACTAAAACCTGTTTTTCATGAATGCCGTGTATAACATTAAAAATGAACATTAACTAATCTTTTAAATTGACTAAGAGATTCGGCTTCTCTCACATGACAGGGTAGGCTGTTCCAGAGAACTGCTCCGCTATAAGTAAAGCTGTTTTTCATGAAATTAGTTCGCGGAAATGGGACAAATAGTTTGTTAACAGAGTCCCTCAGGGAGTAACGCGTTTCATTTCGTTTAACAAACTTAGATGATAAATATTCAGGAACAAGGCCATTTAAAGACTTGTATACCATTATGGATTTCTGTATTTGAAATTGAGTGCTCAAGTCTTTCCAATCGAGTTGTCTAATCAAACGGTTAGCATCAGCATCATAGCTAGAGAAGGTTAAAACGCGAGCGGCACGGTTCTGAAGCTTCTGTAGCCTGTCAAATAATGTTTTACCACAATTACCCCAGACAAGATTGCAATAATCGAAATGAGATTGAATTAGTGAGTTGTATATATAGTGAAGGGTAGGTGGAGGGACAAAAGGTCTAATTCTTTTCATTGCTCCAATTCCGGAAGCGACCTTTTTAGATAATTTATCAATGTGTGTTTGCCACCGTAGATTTTCATCAATAAATATTCCAAGCGATTTGACAGAGGAAACGTGTTCTATCGGAACATTATTAATCGAGAGCTCAAGTGGGTTCGACAAAGTACTCAATTTTTGTCTGGAGCCAATTAGCATGAATTCAGTTTTAGAAGTGTTCAAAGTAAGTTTATTGGAAATAAGCCATTTGTTTAGGTTATCTAAATCGTGACTCAGAGTTAACTGTATTGAATTCACATCAACGCCAGCATAAGTAATGTGGGTGTCATCGGCATACATTCTAGGCTGGCACGAAGTAAGGCAGTTAGGCAAGTCATTAATATAAATAAGAAATAAAAGGGGCCAAGGATTGTTCCTTGCGGTACCCCACATTTAAGAGAGCAAATTCTAGAAAGAGAACCGTTAACAAGACATCGTTGTGTACGATTAGTTAAATACGACCTAAACCAATCAAGAGCTGTACCTTGTATTCCGTAAAGGTTCATTTTAGCTAGAAGGATATCGTGGTCAACGGTGTCGAAAGCCTTTTTAAATCGAGGAAAACCACAGCATTAACATTGCCACGATCAATATTAAAGGCCCAATTATCCGTAGCTTCCAGAAGGGCAGTTGCAGTTGAGTGTAACGAGCGAAAACCCGATTGATGATTAGAAATGATATCTTCATTGGTCAAAAAGTTATACAACTGATCATAAACAATCCTTTCAAACACTTTAGCTATAACGGAAATGACTGAAATAGGTCGATAATTATTCAGATCAGATGGCTCACCTTCCTTGAACAACGGAGTAACTCTAGCACATTTCAATCATCAGGAAATATACCAGAGACTAAAGATTTATTAAAGAGATCACATAGTGAAACTGAAATAAGATCAGCACATTCACGTACAATTTTAGCAGAAATATTATCAAGACCAGTTGCTTTAGATCTACATAATTTGTTTAGATGTGAGAAAACAATGCTGCAGTTAGTCGAGGAGAAGCTGAAATTGTTGTTATTTACCTTTATATTATTGATATAACTTGAATTATTTTCAGCAGTTAGAGGTATTTCATTAGCAAGTCTGGGCCCAATTGTTGAAAAGTGGTCATTAAAAGCATCAGAAAGCTCACTAGAATTAGAGATAATGGTATCATTCAATTTCAGTTCTTTCACCGTTGTATTATTCACACGACGGGATGTAAGCTCATTAAAGGTTTGCCACGTTTTTCGAGGATTACCCTTAGATTGAATAAATGCATTAGAATAATAAGATGCTTTAGAAATTTTGATGTCATTGTTTATTATATTTCGCAACTTTTTGTACCTTTTCCAATCGTGTGGATCATTCGATGTAATTGCTTTTCTTTTGGCAGCATCACGATCACGCATGCCTTTCTTTAATTCTGAATTGATCCAGGGTGCTTTATTTGTTCTAGTACGTCTAGTTCGGAGTGGCGCATGAATATTAACAATATCCAAAAACTTCGTTTTCCAGTCAGACCACAAAACATTTGGATCTTCAGAAACATTACAGGACCAGTCTTGCTGAGCGATATCGTTACGAAAACTCTCTCTATTAAAATTTTGGAAATTTCTATAAGAAATGGTTGAGTGCCCTTTTGAAGGAAAAGTGAGAGATAATTTCCTATAAACGTAAATAAGGCTATGATCGCTGATACCAATATGAGAGACTCCGGAACAGACTACCCTGTCAGTATAGTTTGTATAAATTAAATCAATTAATGTTGAAGAGGATTCCGTTATGCGAGTAGGTTCAGTTATAAGCTGTTGAAGCCCAAATAAATCAGAAATTTCACATAAGCGTCGAGTATTTAAATCATATTGTGCAGAGGCCAGGTTACAGTTTAAATCACCTAGCAGATAATATTCTAGGCCGAGGGAATCTAATTTCTCAAGAAATGATTCGTAATGTAAAAATAAATCAATTGAGGAGCAAGGAGGTCTGTACCAAGTGGCTATCAGAAATGGCCTGGAGTTTGGTTTCCGAATCTCTATACATAAATTTTCAAGACTGGGTGCATTCAAATCAGAGCGAACTCCAAAATTAATCGAGGTTTTTATATAAAAACCTACTCCTCCTCCTTGTCTGTTTCTATCACGACGAATAAATTCATAGCCTGGTATTTGGACCTCACAACTATTGATAGAGTCATCAAGTTTAGTTTCATTAATTGAGAGAATATCAATGGAGCGATCGGCAAGGAGAATTCTTAGTTCATCAATATGCTTTGTAAGACTATTAATGTTTAAACCTGCAATTTTAAAACCACGACCAGAAGGAAGAAAATCAGAGAGAATTGTACTTTCAAATGAATCAACGTTTTGATTAGGAATACCTGATGATACGTCACTCGGTTGAGAAGCTAGCGTGGGCGTCTCCTGTTGCGAGCTGGAGAGGGAAGGTTTCCCAGTTCCATCAGAAGCTTTACCAGTTGTTGGATAGCTGAGGACTGAAAACCCTTAAGAGACTGATTATACTTGCCAGAACCAGATCTTAAAAACTTAATAAATTGCACGGCCAGCAATGACGAACCTTTGGCATTCAGATGAAGTCTACTACCATTTAATGCTGAGGCGTCAATAACCGAATTATCAATATAAGTAAAGTTATCATCTACTGCTGTGAGCTTGACCCTCTCATTAACTTCAATGCGTTTAGCATCGACGTTGATATCTTCTCTGTAGACTATACCCGAGAGACCAATGCTTGAGTTAGAAACTTGCTCTTCACCTTCAATACAAGGCTCTTGATATCGGCGACACATGAATCGGCAGACTCCGATGGAAGATTGTTAGTGCCAGTATGGATGATGACGTGAGAAGGATCCGCGGATGCAACAGCGATGTTGTCAACAGCTTCAGCTATTTCAGCAGTGGTTTTCCCGGGATATGAGAATTTATGTACATGTCTTTG